ACACATAGTTGAGTCCGAGTTTCTGAATTAGGAACTCTTGTCTAGTAGAGTCCGGTCTCTCAAAGCATGTCTCATGAGATAGAATCCTTCACTTAGTTGACTCTAGGCTTCTAGTAGCAATCTCTGTATTTTTTAACTACATGTCCCGTACGATGTTTAGCTTGTTGATCCATCTAAATTAACAAAACTGTTCTACCTTATGCAAGTAGACCAACCCTTGTCAGTGTGGGTAACACTGGGAGGGATCACATGATAGCTTACATAGTCTCATGTTTTTTAAGGCAATATCCCAACTATTACAATATTAATAATGAACTAAGACATTCTTGAAGGAACATCTCGTAGTGTTCAAGTACAATGAAATAAAATACGCTTGATGAAGCATCCCATAGTGTTCAATAAAATAATGAACAAAGATGTGTTTAAAGAAGTATCTCAAAGTATTCGATGAAAGATGGAACAAAGATGTACTTGAGAAGTACCTCATATTGCTCAAGAGTTTCAAAAGGTGATGAATATGAATGATGGCCTAGAGAGATTTACTTGGCATGGCTGAGATTTATGGATTCTTATTCATTCGTTGCGCAAGTATGCCTATATCTATTACTCATGACTTCTACTATGTTATATGATGTTAAAACTTTGCATGTAGGATTATTTGTAGTGAAATGTCCCTTTAAGCATATTTTAGATGTTTTAATCCATGGCAATCATACCTAGTGAATTTTTGTATTAACGACTACATCTCCTACATTTTTCTTAAGTTCAGGGTCTAGTTCTTGAGGTGATCATTAATGTGGAGAGTGCTTGGACTTTTATATCCGCCGACCTTGTTGGTAAGTCTTCCTTTTTTGACGATAACATTTTTTTATGATGTAGTTTCCTTTTAATTTATTTCCCCTTTTGGACATGAGTTATGGTATAGGCCCTATTCCTTTCAAGATTTTAATTGATTGCTATATTGATACAAATCTAGAACTCCGCTATCTCTTATGTTAAAGTAATAAGACTTCAAATGTGTTTTACTCTTTATTATTCTAGAACTTTATGTAATGATGTTATAAGGGGCTTACATGAAGCCTTTCAGGGTTCTATGTGCCTTTTTACATTGAGGGAATAAATAGGTTGTTAAAAACTTAGTAATCAGAGCATGAGGTTTTGAATAATTCTAGGATAATGTGTCACAAGTCACGTCTATGAATGAGAGGCTATAAGAGGATTGGGAAACATAACTTGTTCATTACTCTAAGTCGTGCCATAGAGTTTTACTCTATAAGATCTCTCATAATCCTTCCCTTATGCCCTCAGGATATTACTACACGAAAGGCTAATGCTAGAAAGATGCGGGATGACAATGTGACTCAAATGGTTCATCCTCATCCTTATCAAGCTCTGGTTCACCCTATAGTTGAAAATGTGACCCATGCATTGTGTAGGTCGACTATAATATTTTTGTCTCAAGCACGGACGACTCAAGCCAATAAAGAGGTGGTAGCTCTAGTGAATCCTAATGGGAATTTGTCCTCTTCAAAAGTAAGAGATTTAGAGATAATGACTCCCCAGTAATTTAATGGTTCCAAAGTTGAAGATGACCCTTAAAGGTTTATTGAAGACGTTCGTAACGTACTTTCTATTATGGTGGTGTCATCAAGAGAAGCAAAATCTAGACACCTACCAACTAAAAGATGTGGCTGAAGGGTGTTATGATTAAATGAAGGGTGAAAGACCTGTAGTAGGGGGCCTTGTTGAATGGGAATTGTCAAAAAAAACATTTCTTCATAGGTGTTTTCCTCTAGACTTGGGGAGGAAAATGTGCAAAAGTTCATCAACCTTTATTAAGGAAGTATGAGTGTTAAGGAGTATTCTTTAAATTTAACCAAACTCCCCAAATATGCTCCAACTATGTTTGCAAACTTAAGGGCTATGATGACTAGGTTTATGTCAGGTGTGTCTAACTTTCTTGAAAAAGAGAGTCATACGAAAATTCTCTTCCATGACATGGATATATTATGTGGGATTTATCTAGCATTGAGTGAATATTTAAATGATATAGAGACTCACACATAGTTGAGTCTAGGCTTCCAAAATGGGAGCTCTCAACTAGTAGAGTTCGAGTTTTTCAAAGCAGGTCTCACGAGATTGAATACTTCATCTACTGGTGTTCGAATTTCTATTAGCAACCTTCGTGTCCCATAACTATGTGCCTTGTAGGATGTTTAGCTAACGGATCAAACTAAGCTAACAAATCATTTCTATCTATGGTAAGTATACAAATTCTTGTCTGTGTGGGTAACACCAGGAGGGATCATGTGATAGCTCACATGGGCTCATGTTGGTTAAGGCTATATCAGAACAATAACATGATCAATAATGAACTAAGACATGCTTGAAGGGGTATATAATTGTGTTAAATTACAATTAACTAAGACATGATGGATGAAATATTTCATAGTTTTCAAGAAAATAATGCACTAAGATGTTCTTAAACAATTACTACGAAGTGTTCGATGAAATGAAAAACTAGATGTGCTTGAGAAGTACCTCCTAGTATTTAAGAATTTCAAAACGTGACGAATATGAATGATGACCTAAAGAGGATTACATAGAATGGGTGACATTTATGGGGTATTATTCATGTGTTGAATAATATACCTTGAGTGTAATGATGAAGTGTTTCACTTTTGTTATGATGATCTATATACTGATTATGTCTATAAATTATGACTTATACTATCTTATAGGATGTTGAAACTTGGCATATAGAATGATTATATTGAAATATCACCTTTGATATGTTTTGAATGTTTTTATGCATAGCTACCATACTTGGTGAATTTGTGGACTAACGCCTACTTTTTCCACATTTTACCTCAGTGTAGGGTCCGGTTCTCGAGGTGATCATTCTAGTGGCTATTTGGTGAGTACTCATGGTTCGAGGATGTCTTTTTCTCATAAAACAATTTCCTTATTGTATTTCCTTTTTGGAAATAGGTTGGGCCCTAACCCATTAACTATTGTAAAAGATGGCTAAATTTAGACAAGTCTAGACTTCCGCTTTATTTTATGAATAACTTTTAAGACTTGAAATGTTCTTTACTCTTAATTATTCAAGAACTTTATGTAACATTATTATAAGTGTCTTACGTGGAGACTTTCATGGTTTCATGTGTCGTGTTACATCTTAATTGGTACCCCTGGGTCGTGACATAGTATCACTCTCCTTATCCTAAATTTGTTCACCAACAATTTTATAAGCTAGTTGATCCACTTAAGCTAGAAGTTCAACATTATACATTGGACAACTAGAAAATATTATTTTGGTGTAAGGTAGATACCAGATTCCATGTTATAGCTCAGATGATCTCAATATCAGTTAAGTCTAATTTCCCCACAAATAATAATAAACTAAGGTTACTTCAAGAAGTATTACACATGAGTTCAAAGGTTTTTAAATATGAAGTTAGTTAACATTGATCATGATTTATAACTTATGTTTTATTACTCTTTTATATTATGTTTAGCTTGGTCAATTGCATGTCATGAAATAAAATGTCCTTTTTAGCATGATTTAAAATCTTTTATGCATGCATATCATTCTCAGTACATTTTCTAGATTAACTCATACTCTTTATTATATTTTCCCAAATTTAGGGTCTGGTAGATAGGTTTTTGAGTGTGGTGCTAGTAGTTGATTTTGTGATTTTCCCGAGGTATGGTAAGTCCTCATGCTTCAAGGAGGGATTTATTATTTTAAGTTTCTTCCATATATTTTTTCTTTTGGACATGATGTTAGACACGATAGCATTCTATTGTATTAGATTGTTATGATAAGACACAATGTTAGACTTCCATTTTTCGTTTATATAATTTTATGTTCTTAGACTATGACTTATCTCTTTTATTCTATTACTTAAATTATGAGATCTAAGTGACAGGTATGTAGTCCTTGGGGTTTCTATAGCCCAAGTTACATCTACAGGATACCTCTACATCGTGAGAGTACTCGATATACCAAGTATGAGAGATATGTCTAAAAACATGAAACATGATTAGAAAAGGACAGAAGAGAAAACATGATATGCATGACCATCTAAAACATAGTAAAAGTTTTGATGAAAAATCATAAGTGATGAAAATTTTATATAAATAATAAAAACATAAGGAAATCTTCATTGAAACATTTGAAATAAACTAAGTTCATTTTGATAGATATTATTTTTAACTGACGAATAGACCATGCAAGGCATAACATCAAAACCGATGTACTCCCACATTGAGAAGAGAGTTATTTTTTGAAGGTAGAAATATGTATTATGATTCATATGACATATTTGAATGTACTATCTAGGACATATAAGCCAATCTTATCTGGCGTACATACTTTGGAACTAGAGGTTGCTACTACCCTATTTAAGATTCCACCTACAAGTTCTCTTGGTGCTAAGTTAAATTCCAATGGAATAGTAATTTTTTTCATAATATAATACATGGAAAAGTACAATTAAGACACAATTCAAATCTTATATCATCATAGAGTATTTATTTAAATCTAGAATCATGCATGGGTGGGAAATGATTTCACCAATCTTAATTCATTAATATGTGAGAAAATCCTTTCAGAATTTCATTGATGTTTATCTTAAAACGACATGGATCATAAAACATTAATTTTCACGACTCATGCATAAACTTTCATAAAATTATCATTCATAGATTAAAAATTTATTCATGAATTCATGCCTTTAAGATTTCATGATCAAAATCATTAAAGTTGCATGGGTTCAAGTGAAATCAATGGAAAACAATTACATTGAGTAGAAACGGTCATGATAAGATCAAAATAAACAAAATTAGAACACGTGAAAAATTGAATTAAAATGTAATCAAATTTAACTTGGAGAATTAAAAAATCATTGGGGTTCATTGGGTATATGGAAAATACATTTTTATTCAAATCGCAAAACCAGTGATGAAAAAGAGAGTTGATTCAGAATCCTTACCTTCATCTCCCTGAGATCTAAGAGAATTTGAAGGGGATGAATTTTTATGAGATTTGGGAATTTGGGAGAACGAGAGAGTTGGATTAGTTTTAGGCATAGAAGGCTAGTTATAGGACATAGAAATAAGTAAAACATGACATAGTATTGGCATGTAATTCATAGTGAAATACCCAAATACCCTGAATAAATAATTCTAGGATAACATGTACAATATGACCTACAGTTTGTACTGGTCAACCGTAGAACAAACTACATTGTAAATAGGCCATAATTTGTCATGTTGTATAAAAGCAATATCAACACCAATTATAGAAGCATCACATTAATACATAACACCATTCAATCCTTCCGATAATGTAAAATAGGGTCTGAAATGAGTCTATGTGTTAACTATTGGAAACTCTTTTAAGAAGCTTCGACCAATAATAATTTCACTTTCTTTTGAGTCAATCTCATCAAAGGTGACAAAGTCCCTCAAAAAAACTTCTATAATAATATGAAAAACACAAAAAAAAACTCGGTGTATCTGAAGCGGACAAAGGTCAAGCACAATTCGAAACTGGCTTGGTTTCTTTAGGATCATCTTGAATACCATTTACAAATATAATGTGATCAAGGAAAGCAAGGGACCTCAACAAAAATTTGCACTTGAAAAACTTAGTGTACAATTCCTTATCCTTGAGTATTTGCAACATAATACTCAAATGCTCTTGTGAGTAGATAAAGATATAATCGATAAGAATAGTAACAAAATTTCAAGATATTTCTTGAATACCCTATTCATCAAATCCATAAAATCCACTAGGGTATTAACAAACCAAAAATAATCACCAAGAAGTCATAATAACCACACGGAGTTCAAAAATTGGTGTTCGTAATGTAATTTTCCCTTCACCCTCAATTAATGATAACCTGATCGAAGGTAAATCTTAGAAAAGTGACTCTCACCTTATAGTTGATCATAAAATTCATCAATACATGGAATATGATACTTATTCTATAACATTCCAGAAAATGTACCTATCTAGTAAAAAGTCTATTAGGTTTTAAGAATATGTATAGGGGTACATAGGCATCCCAATATTCAATATTGAGTTATATTGGGCATGTTAGGGAATATTGGCTTAAGGTGTTAGCCAATTTGTATGTATTATCAAGTAAATTAACATAGGAAATGTACCTGCAATGAAGACCCTAAGCTACAAAAATTTATTCCATAGCTTACACACATTTGGTACGGGGCATCCAAGTGTCAAGCCTAGGTACCATAGCACGTGATTATTTAAAATGATCATGTCGCTTAAGAATTTACCAAGGAAATAGTGAGGATCCTTGGGAGAAGAAGAAAAGAACTGTGCAGTAACACATGTGCACATGTGCTAACCGGCCAAGAGAAGAGCAACAAAGCCTAACAAAATTCGGTTAGGGCGGTAAGGAGTCAGGCGCGTGAACAAATAAATCCACTTAGGGAGTAACTTCCTAACCAACTCTAGGCTATAACTAACTTACCTAACTAGCTAACTAACATAGGACTAACTAAAATAAACTAACTAGTGTACCCGAAATCCTAAGACCTAACCGGGTGACACTAGCCGACTGACTAACTCAAGAAACATCCTAGTACCTAACCTAGGATGGTCAAAAGGGGTTAGTTATGGTCATAATGACTTAGAGGTAATTTAGTAATCACCCTAGGTCACTTAATTAATTAAATTAGCAACTTAATTAATTAACGTAAATTCATGGTCAAAGCCGAAACACTTAGAAAATTTTTAGATTTGGCTAAGTAAAATGTTCTCCTTTTTTTAGTCAATTTAGGAGGGGCATTTTTGTAATTAGCTAATTGATTTATTTAATTAAGTTAATAATCCTATGTTGAATAAATCAATATTACTTTCCTAAGACCTAGACTCGTGTTTATTTAGTAGAAAACCTCACAAATAAAAAACAGTGAACAAACGTAAGCTTAGGCAATTTCAAGGCATATTCTTCAAGACTTTCGTGCAAAGTACATGGTGATCTTTGTAGATTAAATTCTACAGTAATTTATGGGTTTTATCTCTTGGATTCCTTTCCCCAGGAGGCTTTTTAAACGTTTTGAATTCAAGAAAACCGAAACTAGGGTTTTCCAATGAAATTTTTATTGTTCATTTACCTATTTCTCCCTATTTTGGATTCTAGTAGTATGTATGTTGAAAAATCTCAAGAATGTTGTTGGTATGTGGTTCTAACTAATCATTTTATGTACATTTCTATGATTTGATAATCTCGAATGAGACCTATAGGTTAGATCTGTAGGATTAATGCCTAATTGTGTTCTAGAAGATGAAATTGTTATGAGTCATTTATGAAATTCAGTTAACTATTGAAAGGAATGAAGGTTTTCAATTACTGTTTGTGTTTTATAGTTCATATGTTTGTAAGTAATGGAATGCAATGTTTCCAAGAAGAAAGAAGATGTAAAGCAAAGCTAATTAATGAACCTTCAATGCCAAATAAATTTTATAGCTTGGCCAAATTAAGCATTGAATTGTTCTTATGAATAAAAGTTGGCTTCTTTAAATGATGAGATTTCTATAGTATATACATAAAATTAATTGTCTTGGTTAGTGATAATATCACGACAAGTGTTTAGTGAAAGTTTTGTTGATGCCAATAAATTGGCTAGCAGTATTATTTCCAAAAAAATGATATAATGTTGGCTAATGACTAAGTCATACAAATCATATATGGTCAATGTAAATTATGATGTTTCTTGTAAGGAAACTACATGTTAAAGATTGACTTGACAAGTTGTAACTCAATGAAATCATAACCTAGCATATGACAGTGATTGGAACAAGTCCCAACATACACTATCTAAATGAACTTGTCAATATAGTACCACATTGAATAAGTCCTTACAACTTTCATAAAGATTGGAAAAATACTACCGAATAATATTGAACAAGATAAGGTGAGTAATGAAATAACATATATGCTTATGAGTCATGAAATTGACCAAGAATAGGGTGTTAAAGGAAGTGAGACAAGTCTTACTGGCACCTAAATTATTATGTTAAAGATACTCATATAAGAGGGTGTTAGAAATCATGAGACAAGTCTCATTCACACCGTAATGATAACGTAAGATTTAATTTCACATTCATCACGCATAAAAGGGGTGACAAGTAATCAATTAATCTAAGCATAACTCATACTAGAATCAAGCTTCCATAATGTATGAGTCAACTCTAAAAGTTGTAAAGTATAAGAAATTGAGCATAGCACCGATAGAATAGCAATGAGCTTGTGCAAGCAAATGTAAGACTTAATAGATGAGACTTCCATCAAGGTAGATAAGGGTCTCCAAAAATCTCCTAGTATTTGAACTATATTGCTATCATAGGTTACGAGCTAGTGGATCCACCTAAGAGAGCTAGGAAGTATTCGATATTCCTTCGGCCGGTAAAACACATCTTTTAATTGTGGGGAAGACACTCGATTTCATGTTAGCTCACATGATCTATGTCGCTTAAATGCTACATATTTCTTTACAACAGTAAGAAAGAAATAAAAAAGGAAATAAAGCAAAGAAGAAAGATAAGTTCAAATTGAACTAAGTAAGACAAAGCATAAGTATATCAAATCATCAGTGTTTGATAAGAATGAAGTTTTAATAGTTAATGTCTTATTCCAATAAAGGGCGCAAATGATCAAATAACGGGCATAGACCATAAATATATGCCCCGGCATCTTCATATTATGAAAACGATCAAATACTGGACATAGCTAATAAAGATTGGATTATAAAGACATATGCCAATTTAACAAGAATGGAAAGAATAACTTGTAAGTAGGGTAGTCAAATAATTTCCTTAGTCCTTTGGATTACGTACTTGATTCATTGTAGGGATGGGACTGCAATGAATCATTGAACTCATAACTAAAACATAGCATCAAATGAGATCATTGAACTACAAAACAAAAATAAGAAAAGATTGAATAATAAAATAAGTAAGGGAAGGGGACCTCTCGACTTAAGGCAAGCAAAAATATTAACTTTTGCTCTATTTGTTCTAAAATTATGTTCATGATTTGAAGATCTTATGTTCATATAGAAAATGAGTTGTGTGCTTTAAATTCATGAAAATATGTCATATTCATAGCATGATACATAAATAACGAATTAGGAAAGTAAACTGACTCCACATTCCAAAAATGGCATGTTGCCATAAGAAGAGCTTTCCTTGATCATGCATAGTCCTTATGTGTTTATATGCACACACCCATACTTAGTACAAGTGTGTAATAACTCATATACAATTACTATTTTTATAGGTTCAGGGCCTTGAAGAAGATTGAAGAATCAGGTGATGGTTTTTGGACTACTACCTCCAGACTTTGGTAGGAACTCTTGAGTTCGAGGATGCCTACGCTTATATTCTAGCTTTAGTAGATTAGACATAGTTAGTGGATGTTGTCCCTAGCATTTTCTTTCAAACATTTTTTCAAGATTTTATATTAAGGCCAGTTTGGCAACTATTACTAACATTACTAATTCTTCGTTTCATTTGTTCAATATATTAATAGATGGTTGTGTAGTTTGAGCTATTAGTATATCACTCTTATGCAGAAATTATATGAAGTCTAAGTACACTTCATTAAAGTTAAAAATTTTGAAATTTTCAACTGAATTAAAGTGTATGATTGTGATGAAAGTTACGAAAAGGCTTGTTTGCAACCTCTAAGAGGTTAACGACGCCCGTCTCATCTAAGATGTAGGACCCGGGTGTGACAAACTTGGTATCAAAGCATGAACTTAAATAACCTAGGAACTAAGGCTCAAAACAATCACATTACGTAGTTTCTAACTTATAGAAGTGAAGTCAACCACAATCATGACTTAGAGACTTAGTGATGTTAGTAATCTTCTTTATTTCTACTCTTTATCGTGCTGTGTAGAGCTTTGACATTGTGTGTCATTCCAGTATCTAACTTCCTTCTTATTTGGGCGTATCAAAAGATGAACACAAGATGAAATGCAGGTAGGAGAGTTGGATAACCTTCTGCTGGTGGAAACCAAGCTCCTCCTCAAGCCCCAGCTGCAGGAGTGCAAGTTCTTGTCAAACCACCTACGTTAACGAATGAAGAAGTGAGAGCAACACTGGTTCAGAAGGCCCAAGCCATCACTGCTCAGGCACAAGCTATCACAGCCCATGCGACTAAAGAGGGTGATCCCAGAAAAACCCACATACTAGCACAATAGCTAGCATAATGAGGGATTTCACCACGATGAATCCTCCATTCAACAAGAACTAATGAAGATCCCCATGAGTTTTTGGACGAGGTCCAAACTATTCTCTGTGCTATGTGTTCTAATAAAGAAAAGAAGGTTGAGTTGGCTGCATACAAGCTCAAAGATGTGGCTCGACCATGGTACAAGATGTGGGTAGATAGTCGAGCACCAATAGAAGTCCCCATGACTTGGGACATTCTTAAGACTGCATCGCTGGAGAGGTTTTTCCCCAAAGAGCAGAGAGAGGCTAAGGTTGAGGAGTTCATCAATCAACGTCAGGGATGTATGTCATTCAATAAGTACTCCTTGAAGTTTCTTAAACTTTTGAAATATGCTTCTTCTCTGGTGTCAAATAGTAGGGATGAGATAAGCAAGATTGTGAGTGGTGTATCGAAGGATCTGGAGGACGAATATCGTGCAGCCATGTTGCATGGTAACATGGACCTTGCTAGGTTGATGGTACATGTACAGCAGGTGGAGGAGAGTCGTCGGAGGAAGAGAGACCGAGAAGGTAGGAAGCCTAGGCCCTCGGATCAGGCTGGTTCAAGCACTGGTAGCAGTTTGTTTGGAGTTCAGGACAGACACAAGTTCAAGAAGGGGAACCAAGCCTCCCAAGAGGAACAAGTTCTATACTTTGAAAGGAAGAGAGGAACAGAACAAGTCAGCTGATGTGGTCACTAGTAACTTGAATGTCTTTTCTTTTCTAATGTATGCATTGTTAGATCCATGATACACCTTTTATTTTGTTACTCATTTAATAGCTAGTAAATGTGACTTGCTTCTTGGGATTTTGCATGAACCTTTTCTAGTTAGTACTCCCATAGGAGACAACATTAGGGCTGCAACATTATATAGAAATTGTCCAATAATTGTTCTTCATAGAGTTACCTCTGCTGACCTAATAGAATGAACCATGCTTGACTTTGATATAATTTTCAGCATGGATTGTCTCAATAATTATATGCAACCATATACTGTCGAAATAGGGTAGTAAGGTTTTGGTTTCCTAATAAGTTAGATCTGGAATGGGAAGGGCGTAATTCAAATCCAACAGGCCAAATAGTTCCGCATCTTAAAGACAATAAGATGTTATCTAAGGGGTATTTATACCACTTAGTTTGAGTCAATGACTTAGAACATGAAGTTCCTTCCATAGAATCTCTGTCCATAGTGAATGAGTTTCATGAAGTCTTTCCGGAGGATTTACCAAGAATCCCTCCTGAACATGAAATTGACTTTCGTATTGACTTAGATCCTAATACCAAACCAATTTCAATTCCTCCCTATTGAATTGATCAATATGAACTCAAAGAGTTGAAGTTGCAGTTAAAAGATCTACTTGATAAGGGCTTCATCCAGCCGATCATATCCCCATTGGGTGATCCAATCTTGTTCGTTAAGAAAATTGATGGAACCCTTAGAATGTGTATCGATTATTGGCAACTAACCCAAGTCACTATAAAGAACAAACGCCCTCTTTCCAAAATTGATGACCTATTTCATCAACTACAAGGTTCAAGTTTCTTTTCTTAAAAAGATATCATGTCAAGTATCACCAATCTTAGAGTGAGACAAGAGAACATTCCTAAGACTCCCTTCCGTACTAGGTCTGGTCATTACGAATTTATTGTCATTTCATTTGGTCTCACTAATGCACCAGTCGTGTTTATGGATCTTGTGAATAGGGTCTTCCATGAATACCTTGATTCTTTTGTCATAGTATTTATATTTGACATCCTCATATACTCTAAGACTAAAGAAAATCATGAACATCATTTGAGAATGACATTGCAAGTATTCAGGGAACATCAGTTGTATGCGAAATTTGGGAAATAAGAGTTTTGGCAGAGATTAGTGACCTTCCTCGGTAATGTGGTATCTGACCAGGGTGTAGAGGTTGATCCAAAAAAAGATTGAGCCGGTAAAGAACATTTCAAGACCCCTCACTCCTATAGACATCAAGAGCTTCTTGGGTTTGGCTAATTACTATCGCAGGTTTGTTGAGGGCTTTTTCGCTATTGCTGCTCCATTTATAGCTTTAACAAAGTAGAAGGCGAAGTTTAAGTGGTCTGAAACTTGTGAAATGATCTTTGAAGAGCTCAAAGACCGACTCACTTCAGCCCCAGTTCTCACATGGTCGAGGAGTGGTGAAGGGTATGTGGTGTACTATGATACTTCCCGATTACATTTGAAATGTGTTCTTATGCAGGATGGAAAAGTGTTTGCATATACGTCAAGATAGTTAAAAATCCACGAGAAGAATTACCCTACCCATGAACTTTTGTTAGCTGTTGTGGTATATGCGTTAAAACTTTGGAGACATTACTTATATGGTGAACATGTTGATTTATTTAGTGACTATAAAAGTCTTCCAATATGTTTTTACACAGAGAAAAATGAATCTTTGTTAAAGAAGATGGCTAGAGCTGCTCAAGGATTATGACATGAGTGTCCACTATCACCCAGGCAAGGCCAATGTAGTGGATGAGCTTTGAGTCGATTCTGCATGCGCACTGTGTCTCATATTGATGAGGAGAATAAGGAGCTAGTTAAAGAGGTAAAACAATTGGCTAGGTTAGGTGTATGGCTCGTAGATACACTATGTGGGGGTGTTTCAGTTCATTCCTGTTCTGAATCCTCATTTGTTGTAAATGTTAAGGTGAAGAAACATCTTGACCGAGTGCTCATGGAAATAAAAGACTTGGTGTTGAATAAGTTGAATGAATTATTCTCCCTAGGGTGAATGGTGTGCTCATATACCAGGGCAGATTTTTTGTGCCCAATATTGATAATCTAAGAACTAATATTATTGCAGAGGCTAATGGCTCCAGGTTTTCTATTCATCCAGGTTCCACACAAAATGTATCATGATATCAAGGAGATCTATTGGTGGGAAGGTATGAAGCGACATATTTCTATGTTTGTGGAGGAGTGCCCCAATCGCCAACAGGTTAAGGCCGAACACCTTAAGCCTAGAGGTGTTACCCAGTCAATTGAGATCCCAAAATGGAAGTGGGGGATATTAATATGTACTTTGTGGTTGGTCTGCCTAGACAAGGAAATTGCAAGATTCCATTTGGGTCAATGTTAATAGGATGACTAAGTTTGCTCACTTTATTCCTGTGTGGTCTACTTACAGGGATGAAGATTATGCCAAGCTCCATATTAATGAGATAATGAGGTAGCATGGGATCCCTTTATATATCATTTTGGATTGGGGAGCCCAGTTCACTTCTCACTTTTGTAGATCTTTCCAAAAGAGCTTGGGTACATAGGTAAAGATCAATACTACTTTTGATCCTCAGATGGACAGAAAATCAGAACGAACTATTCAAACCCTTGAAGACATGGTGAGAGCATGTGTTATAGACTTCAAGGGGAGTTAGGATGATCACTTGACACTGATTGCGTTTTCTTATAATAGCTACTATTCTAGTATCGGGAAGGCACCTTTTGAAGGTTTGTATGGCAGGAGATGTAGGTCCCCAGTTTGGTGGTTAAGGTAGGGGAGTCTTCCATCCTTGTCCCTGAGATCATACATGAGTCTATGGAAAAGGTGAGAATGATCAGTGATAGATTGGCTACTGCTTACATTCGTCAAAAATCATATGCTGATAATACGTAAAGGGCTTTTGAATTCGAGGTAGGTGACAAAGTCTACTTGAATATATCAACCATGAAAGGGGTGATGAGGTTTGGTAAGAAATGGAAGTTGAGTCTGAGATATATAGGTCCTTATGAGATGTTACTACGACTAGGGGATGTTGCCTATGAGCTGAAGTTACCTAATGACTTGGCTTCTATTCATCCAGTGTTTCATGTTTCAATGCTTAAAAAGGGTATAGGTGATCCAACATCTATCCTACTTTTCGAGGGTTTAGGAGTCGATGAGAACCTCTCTTATGAAGAGGCTCTAGTTAAAATTTTAGATCGCCAAGTGAAGCAGCAGAGAAACAAAGAGGTTGCAACCGTAAAGGTGTTATGGAGGTTCCACCTTGTTGAAAGAGAAACATGGGATTTCGAGGCTGACATGAGATCTTATTACCCTCACTTTTTCAGTTCTTGAGGTTAGATATACTCTTTCTATGTTTGATTTTGTTTATGAAACCCTAAATTTTTGTGCATTAGTAGGTTTTGGTGTTTTAAGTCCATAATTGTGTGCTTTATACTTGCATTATATGAGTTAATATGAGTTCATGCTTGCATCCATGTTTAGTGTGTGCATCATCCAGAGTATGTTTTGAATCTAATATGCACAAAGAGTAAAGTTTCAAGTATGCTAATGTATTTTAAAAAATATCCACTTTGATTCAAAATGATGTGAAGCGTCATTCGGGGACGAATATTCCTTAGGGGAGGATAATGTAACACTCCAGAAAATGTACTTGTCTAATAAACAATCTAGTAGGTTTTAAGAACATGTATTGAGTTACATAGGCATCCCAATGCCCAATCTTGAGTAATATTGGGCATGTAAGAGAATATTCGCTTAAGGGTGTTAGCCAATTCTATGTATTAACAAGTAAATTAAGATATACTTTGATGTTCAAATAATCCAATCCAATCTTGTTTAGTAATTGTACCTACAATGAAGACCCTAAGCTAAAAGTTTTGATTTCATAGCTTACACATTAGGTACGAGGCATGCAAGTGTCAAGCTTAAGTATCATAGCAAATTATCATTTAAAATGATCATGTGGATTAGGAAATAACCAAGGAAATAATAAGGATCCTTGGGACAAGATGACAAGAAGTGTGCAACAACACATGTGCAAGCACATGTGCTAACTGGCCAAGAGAAAATCAACCAAGCCCAAGCAAATTCGTTTAGAGTGGTTAGGGGGAAGGCGCGCAAAAAGGCTCAAGCCACCTGGGGCATAGATTCCTAACAAACTCTAGGCTCTACTTAACTTACATAACTAGATAAATAACCTAGTCCTAACTAAAATAAACTAACTAGTGTACGCAAAATCCTAAGACCTAACAAGGTGACACTAGCCGAGTAACTAACTCAAGAAACATGCTAGTACCTAACCTAGGATGGTCCAAAAAAGTTAGTTATGGTCCTAGTGACTTAATGGAACATTAGTAATTACCCTGGGTCACTTAGTTAATTAAATTAGCAACTTAATTAATTAATGCAAATTCGTGGTCAAAGCCGAAACACTTAGCAAATTTTTATATTTGGTAAGTCAAATGTTCTCCTATTTTTAGTCAATTTAGGAGTGGCGTTTTGGTAATAAGCTAATTGATTTATCTAATTAAGTTAATAAGACTAAGTTTAAATAGTCAATATTCAATTACTAAGACCTAGACTCACGTTTATCAAGTAGAAAACCTGAAGACTGAAAGACAGTGAACAAATGTAAGCTTAGGTGATTTCAAGGCAAATTCTTCACGACTTTGGTGCAAATAAAGTACATGGTGATCTTCGTAGATTAAATTCTACAGTAAGGTATGGGTTTTATCTCTTGAATTCCTTTTCCTAGGAGGCTTTTCAAACATTTTTAATTCAATAAAACTAAAAGTAGGGTTTCCTTATGAAATTTGGAATGTTCATCTCCCTAGTTCTCCCTATTTCCGATTCTAGTAGTATGTATAATGCAAAATCTCGAGAATTTAGTTGGTATGTGGTTCTAACTGATAATTTTTTGTACCTTTATATGATTTGATAATGTCGAGTTAGACCTATAGGTTAGACCCGTATAATTAATGCCTAATTGTGTTCGAGAAGATGAAAGTTTTATGAGACATCTATGAAATTCAGTTTACTTTTGAAAGGAATGAATATTTTCCATTACTATTTTTGTTTTATAGTACATATATTTGTAGGTGTTTGGAATGCAATGTTTCTAACAATAAATAAGATGTGAATCAAAGCTAATTAATGAGTTTTCAATGCCAAATCAACTTTATAGCTTGGCCAAATTAAGAACTGAATTGTTCTTATGGTTAAAAATTGGATGCTTTAAATGATGAGATTATTATAGTATATACATGAATTTAATTGACTTGGTTGGTTAGAATATCATGACAAGTGTTTAGGGAAAGTTTGGTTTATTCCAATAAATTGGCTAGCAATATTATTTCCAAAAAAATGATATAAAGTCGGCTAATGACTAAGTCATACAAATCATATATGCCCAATGTAAATTATGATAATTCTTGTAAGGCCAAATACATGTTAAAGATTGACTTGACAAGTTGTAACTCAATGAACTCATAACCTAGGATATGCCAATGATTGGGACATTTACCAACATACCCTATCTAAATGAACTTGTGAACATAGTAGCACATTAAATAAGTCCTTACAACTTTCACAAAGAATAGTACAAGACTACCAAATAATATTGAACAAGATAAGATGAGTAATGAAATAACATAAAAACTTATGATTCATGAAATTCACCAAGAATGGGATGTTAAAGGAAGTTATACAAGTTGCAATTACACCTAAATAATTATGTTAAAGATACTCATATAAGAGGATATAAGAAATCATGAGACAAGTCTCATTCACACAATAATGATAATGTAAGATTTAACTTCAGATTCATCAAGTATAAAAGGGGTGAAAAGTCATCCATTAAGCTAAGCATACCTCATAAGAGAACAAGCTTCCATAATGTATGAGTCAACTCTAAAAGTTTTAAAGTATAAGAAATTGAGCTAAGCCACGATAGACTATCAATGAGCTTGTGCAAGCACATGTAATCCTAATGAGATGAGACTACCACCAAAGTGGATAAGAGTCTCCAATAATATAATAGTTTTTGAACTATGTTGCCAGCATAGGTTACTAGCTAGTGGATCCACCTAAGAAAGTTAGGAAGTATTCTATTTAAGTTTCTGTAGTGAACCACCTTTTTTCAGTGTAGGAAAGACACAAGATTTCATGTTAGCTCACATGATCTATGTCTGATAAATGCTACAGATTTCATTAAGAAAGTAAGAAAGAAAGAAACAAGGAAAGAAAGAAAATAAGAAAGATAATATCAAAGTGAATTATGTAAGCAAAAGCATAAGTATATCAAATCATCAATGTTTGATAAGAATGAAGTTTTAGCAGTTACAGGCTTATGCCAATAAAGGGGGCAAATGATAAAATAATAGGCATAACCAATAAATATATGCTTCAACATCTTTATATTATGCAAACAACCAAATAATGGGTATAGCTAATAAAGATTGGATTATAATGACTCATGCCAATTTAAGAAGAATAGAAATAATAACTTGTAAGTAGGGTAGTCAAATCTTCCTTAGTCTTTTGGATCACTTATGGGGTTCAATGTAGGAAAGGGACTAAATTGAATCATTGCACTAGTAAGTAAAACATAGGATAAAAGGATTTCATTGAACTACACAACAAAAAGAAGAAAAGACTGAAAAATAAACTTAAGTATGGGAACGGGAGCTCTCGGATTAAGGGGGAACAAAAATATTAGCTTTTGCTATAGCTGATCTAAAATTATGTTCATGATTTCAAGGTCTTATTTTCATATAAAAAATGAGTAGTGTGCTTTAAAAAGGCATAAAAATATGTCATATTCATAGCATGATTCATAAATAACGAATCAGGAAAGTAAAGTGACTTCAATTTCAAAAATGGCATGTTGTTTAGAAAGAGATTTGCTTGATCATGCATAGTCCTTATGTGTTTATGTGCATACACCTATACAGAGTACAAGTGTGTACTAACCCATATACAATTATTATTTTTATAGATGCAGGTCCTTGAAGAATATTGAAGAATCAGGTGAAGCCATTTGGACTAGTACCTCCAAACTTTTGTAGGTCCTCTTGAGTTCGAGGATGCCTACGCTTATATTCTAGCTTTAGTAGATTAGACATAGCTAGTGGATGTTGTCCCTTGCGTTTCCTTTAAAACATTGTTCAAGCTTTTATATTAAGGCCAATTTGGCAACTATTAATATTATTATGAATTCTTTTTTTCATTTGTTCAATATACTAATAGATGGTTGTTTAGTTTGAGCTATTAGTATATCACTCTTATGCAGAAATTATATGAAGTCTAAGTTCACTTTATCAAAGTTACAAAGTTTTAAATTTTCTGCTAAATTTAACTATATGATTGTGATGAAATCTAAGAAGAGGATTGTCTGCGACCTCTGAGATGTTAACGACGCCGGTCTCATCGAGGGTCTAGGACCCGGGTGTGACATATTCATAATGCTATTCTTATTCAATTAAAAATTGTCAATGCACATTTCGACAGAACCGTTTTTTTAACAAACAAAATAGAGCACTCCATATGTGAAACTTGATTTTAATAAATCTTTATCAAGAAAGTCACTGAGTTGATCCTTTAATTACTTAAGTTTTACAAACTACATAAGTAAGGTGGAATAGAAATAAGATGTGTATCTAGGAGAAGGTCAATATCGTAGTCTGTTTCCCTTTTGGGAGAAATACTAGGAAATCATTGTGTAACACTTTCAGAAACTCATTTACAATTCGGAGTCACTTTAGGGCTGGGGTTTCAGAATCTATATCCGTAACCCGAACAAGATGATCGATGCAGCTGTTAGAAATCATTTTCCTAGCCTTTCAGAAATATATGAATTGACCCATAAGAACACAATATCCTTCTTCAGATAGCATGATAGGTTCTTTCGAAACCTTGACTGTTACCAATCGATTCTACAATATATGGTATCATAGCATGGATGAAGACAATATATCCCATGAATAACATCAAAATATAACATTTCAAGCTCTACAAGATCAACATGAGTGATTCTATAAGAAACAGAGATAAGGAAATTCATATAAACTCTTAAAATAAGAAGAATTACCGACAGGAATAGAGACAATAAAGGTATTAGAAAGGATTTTAGGAAAAATATAAAATCCCATGGCTACATAAGGAGTAAAAAAAATAAGAAATAGTGCTTGTATCAAGAACAGCATAACTATCAAAATGAAAGACATCCGGCATACCAGTCACAACATCTGGAGAACCTTAGTGATCAAGTCGTGTTTGAAAAGAATAAAAAAAATTCTTTAGAGAACCTGAATTGGAACAAATAGACTGAGCTT